CCCCTGCCAGTGCTGAGATGCTTACACCGCCACTGGATCCAAAGACTTTCTACCCAGTGGCGTGTGATTGTCCTTATTCAGTGTCACTGCGTGTGTTTCATGAGTCTGATGAGGACTTTATAGACTGGTATCGGACATATGGGCTAATATCGGACTTATGGACTTGATTTGGGATGTTTTCTCAACATTCAATTCCTCTTGTATATAAACCTCTTTCTTATATACATATGCATGTTTATGAATGTTTCTCTAGTCTACCCAGACTAACACAGGTATTTATTTCTGACCTTGTATGAATTATGCCACCAACTGAATTGATTCCAGTCCATTTTGAGAATAATGATTCCTTATTCTAAAGTTTTAAGAAGTCCTGGTGACATGATGGGTTACTAGTCAGGCTGCCACTCCACAAGATAAAGATGTGGGTTTCTCCCATAAAGTGTGACAGTCTTGGAATCCCAGAGGACTTCGACACTGATCTATAGGATAGCTATGAGTTGAAATCAACTAGATGCCAATGAGTTTTGTTTGACGGAAAATAATCAACTCCCACAGCCCCCCCACAGCCCCCAAACCAACCAACCAACAAATGATAAGTTCCTTATGAATTATAAAAAATAGGTTAAATATTTAGACAGTTACTATTTGAGACTAGTGAATTTTTTAGGAACAATTATACTAATCCACAAATTCAGACACCCCATGAGAAAATTTTAAAATTTCACATCAACACAAAATTTTAGGATGCCAAAGAAAAATGTCTAAATTAGCAATTAGACCAACAGTACATTTCACAGCAGTGGAAGACAGCAGAATAGTATGTTCAATATCCTGAAAGCGAAAAAAGGCAGGCAGGCAACTGTAGCTAGACCTAAAATTAATTACACAGCCAGTAGAATTATCATGAAATAATGGGAGCAAAATAAAAATATTCCCAATGAAAAAACAATACAACCCAGAGCACTTACCATATCACATCCTCCACAGGGAACTCTAAAGCAATTAATTCAAGTACAAGGATAATGATCCAGAACGCAGGCCCGAGATGTACAAAAAAAGTAAATAAAGCTGTCATATATGTGGCAAGTCTACAAAACACAATGCCCCATTTATAGCACTAAAATAGCTAATAATAATTGTTTATAAATTTTAAAGGAGTTCCTGGGTGGTATAAATGGTTAATGCGCTCGGTTGCTAACTAAAAGGTTGGCAGTTCAAGTCCAGTCAGATGCACCTCAAAAGAAACACCTGGAGATCTCTTTTCAAAAATCAGCCATTGAAAATCCTGTGGTGCACAGTTCTAGTCTGACACACACTTGGTCAGAATCGATGTCAACATGTTATAAATTGGGAAGGGCTGTGTAGAGTCAAAACACTTTAAGGCCTTTGAATTGTTCAAGAATTAAGTGAATAGTTTTAGACTCTTGGTTCTCAACCTCCTTAATGCCGTGACCCTTTAATACAGTTCCTTGTATTGTGGTGACCCTCCCACAACCATAAAATTATTTTTGTTGTTACTTGATAACTGTAATTTTGCTACTGTTATGAACTGGGTGACCCTGTGAAAGGGTCATTCGACCCCACAGGTTGAGAACCGCTGCTTTAGACTTTAATTTTACATGCTAAAGTAACTAGGGAAAAAAACGCTAAAATACACGAAGAATGTATTTTTTAAAAAATACTTAAAATATATTACCAGGGAAAAAAGAGGAGCTAATCCAAGGGCTCAAGTAAAAAGAAAATGTTTTGGAAATGTTGATGGCAACATATGTACAAGTGTGCTTAATATGATTGAATGATGGATTGTCATAAGATTTGTAAGAGCCCCCAATAAAAAAATGAATATATATATATATTTTACCTCAAATAACTTGAGAGAAAAAAAGTCATGAGAAAAAAAACACACAATACAATCTGAGAGAAGTCTTCTCCAGTTCCTTTATTATCCTAAATTCTTGACATTCTAGTTTTCTTTGTTGTCTGCCATTCTGATTCATGCCAAACAGTATTTTATAACTTCTTATTGCTAACTTTCCAAAGGGTCCTTTTCTTACTAAAACTTCTTTCAGCCTAAGTTATGGAAACATCACTCCAGGTTGGTTTTCTACTTGCCCGATCTACACGGAAATTCCAGATGCATCATGTCTGAGTTTTTTTGTTTATTTGTTCGTTTTGTCAGTTTCTTAGATTTGGAATTCTAATGACACACAAGTAGTATAATATAAATATAATCTTAAAATTCTTCCGAAAGAATGGTGTAGGGTTTCAAAATTTTATTAAATATACAGGCATACTTTGTCTTATTGTGCTTTCCTCTAAAGTATGCTTCATTGATATTGTAATTTTTTCTCAATTGAAGATTTGTGGCAACCCGCTGCCAACAAGTGTATCAACGCCCCATTTTTCCAATAACTATATCCACTTTGCATATATCTATGTCACTTTTTGGTAATTATCACAATATTTCAAGCTTTTTCATAATGCTATTGCACACTTAACAGACTATACTATACGAGGCTGATGGGATTGTAGAATTGTAAAACCCCTATCGAAAACAGCATGACGCTTCCTTAAACAATTACAAATACCTTATGATGATGCACCCTCTCTCCTTGGTATACACCCTAAAGAAATACAGAACAAAACATGAACAGATACAGGCGCATCTATTTTATCACGCCAAAACAATCAAAAACCCCGTTTGTGGAGGGATAGATAAATAAACTTTGTTACATACAAACAAAGACAAGTCTGTCAAACACCCCATAACATGGACAAAACTGGAGGACATGATGACCAGCAACGTTAGTCAATTTCAAAGAGATAAATGTTTTATGACATCATTATTATAAAGGGAAAAAATGTTTTTCACACCAAAGGAAAAGACTTTGAATTCTGTGGTAGAGCCAGCGGGAAGGTGAGGTACAGAGAGCTTGCTATGCAACTGCTTATAGTGTGTTTCTCTTTGTATGTGTTATTCCATAACTAAAAGGCAGAAATAATAATAAATAAAATTTAAATTTAAAAAAGCCTTAAAATCTCTTCAGATTCCTGACCCATCAGACTTAAACAATTGACTGAGTAGCTATAAAAGGAGGAAAAGTACAATTTAAACTTAAAAAAATAAAAGATGATGCTATAATTTAAACATAACATTTATATGCATTAGGAAATGACAACAACAATCCTATGTTCGCATTTTGGAGACATTTGCTTTATTGTGGTGGTCTGGAGCTGAACCTGCAGTCTCTCTTGAGATCTGCCTGTAAACTCCCCACAGCCGTTGAGCCTACTGCAGCTCATACAGGGACCACCGTATAACACAAAGTAGAATTGCCTCAGAGGTTTTCCAAGGCTGTAATCTTTATGGAATGCAAAGATAATGGAATCTTTCCAGGAATTTTTGTGAAGTCACTTCATATTTATTTAGAAATCAGAATTAAGTTTGTTTGTTTGTTTTAGCTGTTTGTCCAGTGGGTATATTTTTTTCATTTTCCTTAGTCCAGATTTTTCCCGAGGATGATGCCTTTCAGGGACAACAGCTTTTTGGAAGGTGTACTCAGTTACAACTCCTGCCCTGAGCTATTACAAACCCGGAACTGCTGCCCTCGGAACCCCACCTAAAGGTATAGAGCCCAACACTAACTTGCCCACTCTCAGATAAGCAAGCAGTTCGCTTTGCACAAGACTGACAGGTTTCCGGGGAAATGGGATTGTTCAGTGTTAAAGACCCGAGTCACCCTATTACCACCTAGTCCTACACCCAGGGCCAAAGAAGAATCAGTTTGGGAATTCATTGCTCATTGCTCTGGTTTTCAGGGCATTTACATTTTTTGGCAATTTGAAATTTCCTTAAATTTCTTAGGGGTTTAGCTACATATTAAATATACATAATAAAAATAAGGTTAGTTTTAGTGTTTATCCAACATTGCTAGGTTATAGAAACCCCCACCACATTGCTAGTTCAGAACGTAGGCGGCATGCTTTCTGTGAGAATAAAAAGTGAAGTTTTGAGGCTGAAAGTCATAGGCAACCTGTGGGTGCCGGGTTCTAATCTAGAGAGGTTCCCCAAGTGATGTGAATTGCTCCAGCAACTGCCAGACAGTTGCATCGTTGCTCCAGACTCTCCCCCTCTGATCTGGAGAATGTTCTAGAATTCTCTAGGCAGGCCTAGAAGGTAAGCCCCCGCAGGGTCCAGGTTGGCCCGTGTGGTTCTCGCCTGCAGCGCCAGCGTCTAGCAACCAAGGCATTCTTGAAAGAATGCAAGTTCTCACTGCCACGCTGGCTGGTCCCAGCTGTCCACCCGCCGCTCCAACCCCATTTACCTCACACTTGACCCAGACCCGTCTGCAGTTCTGACCTTTGAGGACCCTCTTTTTTCCTAAACCTGTTCCTAGCTTCTCTCTCTAATGCCATGTACGTAAAATTTTGATTCCGCTAATAGTATGCCGTGAGGCGCCATTTTGAAACTGGAGCCTAGGTACCGTAACATTAAAAAAAAAAGATAAAGCAAGCATATTTACTTAAAATCGTCTCCAGAGGCATTTCGGAAGGGACATGGCCGTGCGTCCAACTGCTGGTCGGCGGCAGCAGGTGCCTCGCACGGTGCGCAGCGTCGTCCAGCGCGCACCCCCTGCGCGCACCCCTGGCCGGCCGTCGGCCCCCGCGAACCCCCTCGAGGGGGGAGGGCGGCGGCGCTGTCCCCCATTGGCTGAGGCAGACGCTGCGAGCCCGAGTACCCGGAGCAGGAGTCACCTTCGGGAGCCCCGTGGGTCCGCCTCAGTCTGCCCGCCGCCCTCGACCAGCTCGCCCACTCTTGGGGGGCTCCTCAGCTGGGCTGCTCGCTTGACTTTCTTTCCCCGCCCGACCCTTTTTGGCCCCCGAAACCCGGGCAGCCTAGCCCACAGCCACCCCAAGTGCAAGCCCGCTCCTCCTCGAGCCCGCGCTCACGCCGCTGCCGCCATCATGGTGAGTGGAGCGGGAGGCCTGAGGGGATCCCCACAGACAGCCGGAGTTCCGTGGAGGAGTGAAGTTCAGGGTAGAGGGGCTAGAAATGGGGTGCTCCTTGCTTTCCTGCTCTGGGGAGGCCGTCGGGGCATGGTAGGCCTTGGCCTGCCGATGGGGGTGGGGGTGCGGCCTACTCGGCACACGGCCTC